TAAGTGCTTTCAAAACAAAACAGAACAGAATAGTAACAAAATCAGGAATAGAACTGTTATATACATGATATATTATTAGTTATATTTTCTCAAAGGTTACCTACCCAGGTGAGTGTTTGCCAGGTCTTATGTGTACATAAGAAGAACTAATTTGATAATTATATCAAATTAGTTATATACCTGATTTTGATTCTATTCTGTTCTGTTTTGTACTGAATAACGCCTTTATTTTATTAGGGGCGCCTTGTCATTGCCTATACTTGCAGCACTTAATTTGCACTTAATACCTTGCTATTAATGTTTATCGTATATCTATTATCGTCACTGCGTTGCTTTGAAAATTTTAGAGCATCTAATTTTTAAACTTGGCACCTAATTAGCACTTAAAAATCCTTTAATTTTGGCATTTTTAAACGCAAATGAGATATGAACAAAAATAAGACTATTGCTATTAATTTTAATAAAATAAAAAAAGAATTTTTAATAACTATTAACATTTCATAGCAGCTGCTGAAAAATAATCAACTTTAAAAGTATTTAAAGTGATTTCTTCTCTTTGAAGTCACTCTATAGCACCTTTAAGGTGACCATATAATACATAAAAGATCAGAGTAGGGAAAAAACAATAGCTAAACTCATAAAAATACTTTATTTATAATATCTTATGTATAAAAACTGGTCTTCAGTTAATGAAATAATAGATCAAAATAATCAAAATACACTAAAGGATAGGATTTTTTTTTAATACAGCAACAGCTTAAACATGTAGCGTTACATTATAGAGTAGGGTTATTTTACTTTAGTACTTGCAACACTGAATCCGTCCGTCAAGCATCAAAACAGTTAGTGTCAATGTCAGACTTGAACTGATTCACGTCTATGGACTTACGCGCCGTTTTTTGGTATATGATATATGTACGCTTTTCCTTCGTATTTGTGTTTTATGGTATTTTACTTTTAATTAATAAATGCCGTAACCCCACGCGAGTGCTCCACTAATTATAAACGGTGTAATACGTAAGTTTAATTATTTTCTGTCTAATATACTTTGATCAATAATAGTTATGTTACAAAAACTAGTTACAAATAATTATTTCAAAGGCTGAAAACTGCTGTCCTTGTTTTTTTTTTAGTTAAACCGGTTAGGATATATCCTAATCATCATGCATATACATTAACCTACATAACTAACTAACCTACATACAAAAATAATAATAAAAACCGACTGCAAAAATCAACTTTTTTAAATCTTAATAATTTATATAGAAGGTCTGTACTTTAAAATGACATAGATTTTATCTCTGTACAGTCTGGGGCACAGGTTCATACAATTCTTGGCCATCTCCTTTCTGACATTGCGTTGCTGGCGATACATAACTGTAAACAGTGGCAGAATTAGTAAGTCGATTATATCGATCCGAATGAACTCATGGCTAGAAAAGGAGCCCTACCTCCCCTTATAGTAGGAATAACAACCGCAAACTAAGTTTTTCAGCTATTGTATATGAGTAATCTTTTGACCACCTATTTTTAGAAGGCGTGGGATGTTTTTGCCATTTTTTTAAATAAAACATTGCAATGGAAACCCTTACGCAACCTCAACACGGCAAATATATTTTTTTACATCACTTACACACTGGAAAACAGTCCCTTTTCATCTTCTTCATTCGATATGGGTCTCTCCTATTGTAAGGCCTTTTTACCTTAATCATCATGCTTAGCCTGCGGATTGGCGCTCGCAGTACCAAACTTCTAACACTTTTGACATACCTGCTTTTCGCAAATCAGGGTACTTTACGTTTCCTGTAAACGAGATAGTTTATCAATCATAAGCCATAAATATACCGTGTAGTGGTTGCGTAAGAATATTCACTATCCCATATCACCCGTGGGTGTCGTAAGAGTCGACAGAGGGAAAATAATCAGGAGATGAGCAGCAGCGTCTTCCTAATAACGAATAAAACTAAAAACTGCGGTTGCGAACCCGCTTGCCAAGCATGGCAACTATGACAAACATCACCATAAGATTCAATCTATGGACCAAGCTACTATGGTCAGCTTATTAAAAGCCAATGTCCAGCAGTGGACTTTAGTAAGCTGTGGCGGTAACAGTAAATTGCCACATACGACCCACACGGGAAACATTGTCCACCTGGATAATAAATGGATGTTTGACATTCGAGAGGGCAGAGAATACCTAACTCTATAAAAGTTAATAACCTACGAAAGATAAGTAAAAGTAAGATGTTACTCACAGACACTAATAAAAAAAACAATGCGTGTCAACCCTTAAGACTAAGATGGAATGCCTCGTACCGTACCAGTAATAACGGCCGTCAATTCTGGTTCTTGTCTTTTACCACACGAATCGCAAAAACATCATCTACTATTACGCTGATATTCTGTAAGAGTGTGATCCTACCTAGGCTGAAGCTTTTTCTTGATCCTACGTAAGCTTTTTAAAGGCCTTCTCTTTCAAGTGACCACGAAACTGCACGTCACTCGATATGTCGACGCCGAGGAATCCACCGAGAGGAGTGCCTTGAATCTGAGGAGATATTCTGGGGATTAAACTGGACTAGATTTAGTCGCCTCCAGTTTGAGACTTTGTTCAACAAAGTCTCGATTTCACACACAAGTTTGTTCCGGTACTCGGTGACGTTTTCCTGATAAATATTGGTACGGCGGTATATAAAGCATCACCAGTGCTGTCGTCTGCATAGCAAGGAATGTTACCGGTTTGCAACATATCATTGGTATGCCGAAGAAACAGCGTTGGTCATAGAACACCAGCGTCAATGGGCCGATAACCTTCGCATGCAACGTCTACTACGAATTTGATGCTCCGATCTCTAAGAAAACTGGTTATCCAATTACACAATTTCTCGGTAAGCCCAAGGAGGCTCGAAAGAAGTCTAACACCGGCCGAACCGGCAAGGGGGGGCGTTCTCTTCACGTGCGAGGATGGGAAGGCTTTTTTTTTAGGGATCCAAAAAGTATTCCATGAATTCAGAACTATGCCTAGTGCCAACGCCAGAGCGCACGTCTTTAACACAAAAGGTGGGACTCCATAAAGTCCACTTATTGATGTCGAGGGAGAGGAGTGCTTTGCGCACCAAGCACATTCTGTATGGAGCACTCACACGCAAGGTTATGATGTCTAAAAAAAGGAGAGGGCCAAGGGGAAAGACAGGCTTGGCAAGAGACCAGAATGCACGTGTTGCCGATAGAAGTCAGACTAGTTTCTTGCCGATTCTGCCGTCGTGCCCTGACTATGCTTCGGCAATAACACTTTTAAAGGACCTGTAGGCGGAATTATGCTTCCTTTTAAGAGCGCTGGTGTATGTATCCCGAGACGTTGATGCATCAGTCCAGACCCGATAGCACTCCTAATTATGGCGTGATGCAATTTCACAGGAATGAACTAACCATGGCTGAGTTCTGCCTCCGACAGGCACCACAGATGATGAAATAAATAACTCCATTCCCTGAAGTACCACATCAGCGACAGAATCGGCAACAACGTTGGAATCATCCGGTGAGAAGCAAACCCATCCTCAAAGGTAGGATACAAAAAATGACCACATCTTGTCCCAATAGGTCGACTTATAATGCCAAACACGGCGGCAACCTGCAGAACGCAACCACAATAGGAGTGTGATTGGCACCATACCCCGGATCAGACATTGGTCCGAAGAGCTAAGAGAGGGATAAACGGAGACCTCCGTCCGGATGAAAGGTCAGCATATGGTCCAACAGGAAGGGTACATGATCCTCCACATCAAAAAAAGTCATTAACGCCAAGGCAAAGTCATTAACAGATCTACCTGCATGATCGGTTAAAAGTGAACCAATCCATTCAGCGTGGTTGGCATTAAAATCACAGAGTATCACGATCTCTGTGGGTGGGACCTGTTGTAGCACGGAGTTTGCAGCCATTTTGTCGATCTGTTTTCCATAGACAGTCGACCCTAACGTTCGCTCCGCACAGCAAATTACCAAGACTGTCGACGTCTCGAAAACAGATGTCTTCTCTGACGTATACGCATACTCCAGCCCGGGGCACAAAGGAGTATTGTAGTTTGTATTCCGTGTAGAGGAGAGATACGAAGTATCAGCCGGAGAGGGCACATGTGTCTCGGGTAGAAAGAGTAAGATTTCGTATAATGAGTGTAGAGTACCGAAGACTCTCAGACTCAGACTCATTGGGGGAATATTTGCCATAGTTTCCACGCTTGGCAAGCACCATATTCGCCTCTTACGACGGCCACAAAAATGACACCGCTATTACACTGTGTTTATGACACCGACGAAACGAAATTAAGTAATAGACTTTCCTCCAACACTACCACACTATATTAGGTTAAATGTAGTGTAGTATATATTAGGTTAAATTCTTGATGTCCATCTAAGTTGGTACGACACTTACTTATTTCTACCACCATGCAGCAGCGCAGCCCCTCACGTCTTTCGGTTTGAAGGTAAAACAGCCGGCGTTAAATCTTAGTCATTAACTACAAACCAGTCTGTGGTCTATTTCTTTTGATGTTGTTTACAGTTGTCTATGGTTAAAAGTAACCATTTAACATTTATACGTGGTAGAGCCATGCTGCAGTTATATTAGTAGTATAGTTGTTGCACGAATGGGTCGGCTCGACCGGGGAAGGACCACGCTCTCACAGAATACCAGCGTGAAATAGTAGCTTAATGCTGCTGTATTTCGTATGGTGAGTGTAGAGAACCGGAGACCCTTTTTACTGGGAACGAGGCATTCCATCTCAGTCCTCACGGGTGACAACGCATCTGCATTTTGATTTTTAATGGAGGATAGATGTAGATGTCTATGGACCGCAGCAACCACTTACCATCAGATGGACTGCGTGCTCGTTTGTCACACTATTCTATAAAAAAAAACTGATGTTAACAATCGTTAGCTCGTCGCTCGTGATAGCATTATTCAAAAAGGTTCAATTTAACACATGTATTTTATTGCTTTTTAGAATTGGAAGGCGATGGCTTTATAGATATTGAGCATACAGCAGCCTTTACAAGGATACGAGGAGTTGGCGATATGTTTTGGTTATTCTATCCAACAGTCGCAAGTATCCCTACATCTCGACCCATAATTCTCTGGCTAGATGGAATTACAGGCGTTCCGCCTAGTCTTTTGGCAAACTTTGGAATTTTCGGGCCGCTTGACATCAATTTAAACAAAAGAGAGAACTCTTGGGTATGTAATATCTTTATTTGTTGACAATATATTTCACAAAATAACGTCATTCAAACTTCAAACCGAATTTCATGGGGGCCAGTTTCAACGAAAACAATCCATGAGCGCAGGACAAGATTATAGTGCACGAGTGGGTGCGTAAGCAACGTCGCACCTTTATTCCTTCACTCTCTTAGACCAATGAGATTATGGGACAATAATCCCACAAGACTGGAAGGAGATCGCAGGCCTAATGACTTCTTTACTTTGTACCTTATGAGATATAGGGGTGAAATTGCCAATGCATTAAACTTTCATACTACGCGGAGAAACTTCGTTCCCGTTGACATCGAGGGTAATGTTGATTGAATTTTAAGTAATAATTTAGCATATGCTCCGCGGTGGAGGATAACAATATGAGGCAACTTGCATAACTAAAAATTAAAACAATATTTAGAAGACACGTGGAATCCACCAATGGAACAGCACGGTCCTTCCTCGCTCCAAATAGTTTCTACTCTATACAGTGTGTTATGTGGTGGCAGCGTAATTCCATTTTCAACCCCATTTCTTCACGTAAGTGTCGTAAAAGTCGATTACTTATGGCCAAAAAAATAATGTTTTCGACTGATGTTTGTCTAACCACCTTGCTTACGTCAGTTGTAAAATATACAGACAGAGTAGTGGGTGCAGAATTAAAGATGCGATACGTGTAGTACTGAGATCGTCAAGCGCTTAACAAGCTTGACGATAGAGGTAAATCCTCTCTAATATTCAGCAGTAGACTTTAATGGAGTGATAAAAAAGAAGATATAGAACGTACTCTGCTATACCTTTACAAAGAGGCTCTGTACAATTTGATGGAACAAGCTTTTGCTTTGACCGTTAAGCGCTTCCAGTGATGAACACCTTACCCAGAAAGAAATCCGTTTTTGATAAAGTTTAAAAACAAGTACATAATCCACCTGATTGTTAATGGATACTGTGGCCCCATAGACATTTACATTTATCCTCAATCATCATTTTTGTTGAGTCAAAACGTAGATACGTTGTCAGCCCTGAGGATTAAGATGGAATGCCTCGTTTCTAATAAAAAAAGGGTCGTCGGTTCTCTACACTCATCATGCGAACACAGCAGCTTTACGCTGTTGTTTAACGCTAGCATTTTGTGAGAGCGTAATCCTACCCCGATCGAGTATAATGGTTGTAGCAAGAAAGGGTCGGGATCCGTTCTACAACCATATTATAGCTGCAGCATGGCTCTACCGCGTGTAAAATTCACTAATCTTCTATTTTTCTTCCACGTCCAAATCCGTAACCAAATAAAGTAAAATCTAAAACAAATACATAGATTTTATATTATGTTCGTGTAATATTGTATTTGTGTGTATGTATGTCTCTCCAGGTGGAATCAGCTCATAAGTGCCGAAAACTATTCAATTTCATTTTTATGCGATTCTCATTAAATTTTCCTACTGATGATATAATTGCATATTGCCACGGGACAACTTGGTGCCATTAAGCCAATTTTTATCTCAATTGTAAGGAATTGTTTTTTTTTAATATTCTGTGATAAAATATGAATAAAAATGGTCTTTTATCCAGAATATTTTTTATTAATAATTAATGACTTTTTACGATAAAGTTAACATTTTGGGAATTATGAATTTTTAAAGGTTTGAAAAATCCCAAATTCGGATAATTTTGACCCATTAAAAATATTTAAAAAATATAAAAGATTTTTTTATACTCTTTGATAAAATGCGAATAAAAACACGTCATGATTTTTACGATAAAGTTAATATTTTCGGAGTTATACGTACCTTTTGAAATTAACAATTCCTTGAAATTGAAAAAAAATGCTTTAAACAATGTCGCACCAAGTTGCCCCATAGCAACATGCATTTTTATAATCAGTAGGATAATTTAAAGAAAATCGCATAAAAAATTGAAGTGGAATAATTTTAGGTACTCATACGCCGATTCTTCCTGGAATATAATATGTTTTAAGATGAATATTCAGTACTATCTTCTTTATATTTGCTCTATCTTTAAGGTCAATGATTACAACTTATTGTTCGTGGATGCGCCTGTTGGTACTGGATTTAGCAGAGCGGAGGATAACACAACAATCTCCCGTGATCTCGATGACACTGGTATACACATTTCTATGAAATTTCAAAAAATGTTATCAATATCAACTAGTTTGTAATGCCGAGGCGATATAACAAAATCCAACCCATCTCTTGTATCTTCCATTACGTAAGAGGGGCATGTCTGGAAAAGCAAGTTTGTACAGAACGTCATGCTAGCTTATCTCCATTAAAAGCAGTTAAATGCAAAACATTTTACTATTTTCCACAAATAATTTTTATATTGTTTGTATTCAGACTATTCACAACTAACTCTCAACCCATTAGAAATTTTTAATCTTTTAATTTCGACTATCTTTCTCCCACTTCTCAATGTTGATTTTGAGGATGAGGATGAAGTTCCTTATGTGAATTCTTGTATCTAATTCGGATTTTTTGTTGTTTTAACATTGCGGTTCCCTCTTAATTCCGAGTTCAGTTGAATTTCCCGTCTTATAATTTTTTACCTTTATCTTTTCACCTTAATAAATCGAAAATAAAATTATGAATCATTTTCTTCTATTAAAATTTACTGCATATTGGCGTAACACGCCTAACTTTAATTATCTCCGTTAAATACACCTTTGACAGGTAGACAGCACACAGCTAATTCAAATTTCTTTTTTTTTTTTTTTGCAACAATTACAAAAATTGATATATCAATGCAGCTATAGCTCCAAGGGATAAAACATGCTTTTTGTTAAATAAAAAATAAACTAAGTGTGTTTATTCCTCTTGTTAATAAAAAATACTAAACTTTTACGGGCTGTAGTCGAAGCTTCTGTTATATTTATAACCAATCGGTATACCGTTGTGATCTTAATCATCCTAGAGTACATTATTTGTGTCTTTCTTTCTAGCTGAAACCTTATTATACACTATCGAGTCTTTCTATAAAATTCATGAAAGTTATGAAAATACACCTCTTTATATATTTGGTCAAGGTCATGGAGCACAACTAGCAGTAGCGTTAGGAATACGCCTTGCTGAGGTAAATGAAATTATGATATAAATTATTCTTCTTTTTTTTTCTTGTATAAACTCACCAACACGAAAACCTTTTGAAACTGCAGCTGCTAAATATTTTTGTCGATTCCGTCTCAGTGGTGCTGCTCATCATCACCAGTAAGTTGGACTTCAGCATTTTCCAACGGGTATTCCAACATGAAGTCTACAAAGTCTTGTGTAATTGACTGGCACGAGGCACAAGGCGACAACTTCTGAATAATATAGTCTATCAACTGCGCAGTGTCCCTATTGCCAAAAGTATAAAATAGTACTCAAAAATTGACACTAACAATTCAAAGGCACTTTCTAATATGTTCCGTTCCGTCCGTTCGTTCCCAACGTACCGTTTGAGCACTATAATATATATATATATATTAATACAGTCTACCTGATGGTAAGTGGATGCTGCGGTCCATAGACATTTACGTCTATCCTCAATCACGAATAAAAATGCAAATGCGTTGTCACCCCTGAGGACTAGGATGGAATGCTTCTTCACTCACTATATAAAATACTGCAGCATGGAACTGTTATTACTTATATATTATGTATAGTATTAATATTTATAAATTGTTCACAGACACAGAGCTTTTCTAATAATCTTAAAGGTGTTGTAATAGGCAATGGAATTATGTCTCCTGCCTTAGCACTTACAAAACTCGGTTTTTACCTTGAGGAGCTTGCTTACATAGATGGAAATGGACGGAATGCTATCGAAGAGTTTTCCACCAGCATAAATAATTACACCAATGACGAGCAATTCGAAACAGCCTTTGACACATTTTTGTCTTTGGGAACATATGTTAATGAATACGCTGGTGCTATAGCTGTTAATTTAAATTACATTATAGACAAATTAAGCCAAAATACTTCACAAGGTTAGTATTTCCACCTAAGGTTAGTATACCTACATGTATATGCTGGCATACTAACCTTAGATACATGTACGTGGACAAAAAAAATATATCTTCCGTCATTCAAAAAATTTATATCTAGAACTTATTACAAAATATTTTATAATTTGTGTATAATAATAATGATGTCCACCTGACTGAATTTCGGTCGTGGCGGCCAGTCTCAACAGAGGCTAGCCATCTATGCAGTACAAGATTATAGTGCCCGAATGTATGTGCAAGTTCAGATACACTCTCTCAGGAATCCCTCTCATTCCTGAGAGAGTGTATTTATATCTATCCTAACTCTCATAGTCCGATGGGCAATTCAACACGGCCGGAGAAGATCAGGCACAGAACCGTGCTTTCCGAAGCTTGGAGGTGAAACATTGCCAACTTCGTGACTCCAGGCTTCATCTAAGAATTTCTTAAAAGTCAATTTCAATAACAGAGATTCCATCACTGATTTTGTATCCATCCCGGATTTCGATCCTGGTACAATAGATCAACAGACGCGCTTACGACCGCTAGACTAATGAGGCAGGCAGCAAATGTTTGTTTAGGTGTGTAGTAATAATACTTGAACCTAAATCCTGCTCAAAAATGGGAAGAAGCCTACGACCAGGAGCAGAACAACTGATATACTGTAATACTTTAAGTTACTTTAACTTGTACGTAGAGATATTATAATCATAGCCGAAATCAACACTTCTTTAAATTTTATGAATATAAAAATTATGCGTGGAATATCGGTGGGTTAAAAACTTGACCGTATGTTAAAAACAAGCACAACCAATAAAATGTATTTGATATTTTTATTTTATAAATATAGAAATATTCTTGTACCACCACCTTGTAGTGGCAGTGTAAGAATATCCAATACCCCGTGTATATCGTCCCGTGGATGGAGGATACCATGAACCAGGAGATGCACAGCAGCGTCTTCCAAATAATAACCAAAAACTTAAAGAACTTTGGTTGCTAACCTGCCCGCCATTCGTGGCAACTATGGACAATATCCCCTCTGTGATGCAACCTATGGTAATGACGGCAAAATGATAGGCGGCAACTGTGACAGTAAAGGTATATTATATGTATATGTAAGTGAGTGTATGTGTGTATGTGTATAAGTGAGTACACGTGCGTGTGTGTGCGTGTGATTCAACTTAGATTTTGTTTAAATTGACCGTATCGCTTAGTTTTGCAAAAAGAATATTGGTTCTGATCCAACTGCTTCAGAACCCCCTATCGAAAAGTCTGACATAAAAATTAAAAAATAATTATTTAAATCTTAATCGTCATCTTAATGTTAACAGTGTATACATATTTTCAGATTCTTTTGGATTAAATAAATATCTCCGAGACACAGTTTATACATCAGATACGGACCTATACAAGTTCATGGATGAGACGATAGCACCCATTCTAGGTATATCTGACAATGTCAAATATGAGGAGCAACGTGACGCTGCAACCCAAGCTTTTAGATCATCATTCATGAGACCAGCAGTAGATAAAGGTACAAAGCTTCACAAAACACACTATGTTTTCTGATAATATACACAATATACAATTTATAGATTTCCGCAAAGTTATGCCAGACGCAAAATACCTAAACCGGTGACAAAGGACGACGCCAAAGCTGCGAAACATGGGAGACTGCGATCACAAATTCGCCTGCCACTGATAACCACGGACGCCACGGGTTGGCAACCACAGTTATGTTATTGTTTTATCTGACGTGAAGATAATGCCACCTATCTCCAGTTTCAGTTTCCCTCTGTCGCCTCTAACAACACCCATGGGTCGATATGGGTTCCAAGATATTTTTGTACCATCACTACACGGTAAATGTCTATCTACCTCGAAATATACTCATGGATAAATTTTGAAGAACGCAAAAACCTACACACTTTTTGTATAAAACAAAATATTATGGATATTTTGTGACAATCAAGTTTATTCATTTGGATTTTGCTTATTATTCGCTTATAATTAAAAATCACAAACGTCGAAAAACTAACGACCAAATGTCATAATTAACCAAGTTAAAAAAATAACTTTTTACTAAATAATTTAATTGTCTTAAAGGTTCAGGCAAACCATAGTTATCTAAACGCTATCCTCTTAAGGATAACACAGTATCTTCTATATAAATCAGACACATATTGTAAACTTCATCCAATATCTGAAGAACATTCTCTTGCAAATCTGTTTGAACTTGACGCTTTTTATCCTACGACAGACGGTCTTTGTACTTCTCCCATGGACTGGATTCTTCTTTTAGTTCACAGAATATTAACAAAACTGATAATAGTACTCGCAATTTAAAAGGACTATCACAAACAGCAGCATCTTCCGTAGTGGCACCCCAGTGTTTATTTATTTATTTTATTTAAATCTTACAGGGTACCTAGGGCAGACTTAATGCGATGTGGCATTCTCTGCCAGCCAACCTTGGGTGTCAAAGACAATAGTTGGCAGGAGCAAACATAATACATAAATAAAGATATATATACATACATACACACTACATTTAAATATACACACATATAGCATACATATAGGTACAATAATACATACATATATATAATATATATACATGCTTATAAACTTCGTAAATAAATATCCGTATGAATAATATATAAAATATAATGTTTAAATGTATAATGTAATAAATATTTAAAGTAAAAAAAAGACTAACTTATAAACTAATATGATACAACCGGACTTCCTGGAAAGTTGATGCTTCACATCAGCTATATGTTCTATTACGCGGGTTCTAATTGATCTTTTTGTTTGTCCTATATAAGACTTTTTAGGACTTTATTAAGATTAAGAATTAAGAATAGACGATATTTAACACTATAAGTGTTATAGTTTGTTTATTTACGTTGGTGAACAATAATATGAAGTTCGCTTTCTTTAAGGACAATGGGCGTCCGGGCCCATCAGCGGCCATTAATAAAACTAGGGTCATTTGAAAGGTAAATGCTTGTAGAACAAATATTGTTCAAGCAGTATGATTAAATATCAATTGAGAAAAAAAGATATGGGTTAAATACTATTTTAATGAATTGTCATATTTTTATCATCCAGCATTTTTTGTTTTTCATCACAAAACATACGAAAAACCTTTGCGTTTTGCTTATTTTACAAACGCATGCATTAATAAATAAAGTAATGAAACTATTGGGCTTCCATGTAAATGTAAAATATTTGTCACAATATTCAATACCTTTGTTATCATGCCTTTTATCCGCTAATATGCACTGGGCCGATCGTAAACCATACCAGGATTGCACCGCTTTCAAAGAAAAATGGCGGCAATAATGTGCGGGGCGACCCGACCACTCAACAGCTGCTTTTGTTAACGTACGAGTATTCGTTGAATGAGCCACTTCAAGTTGGTTTTTGTTTTCAATTCTAGGAACCATTGTTAAGACCAACCAATTCTACCTGCTTCGTGTGACCAATCAGCGACATTTGTTTCGTTGAGTACTGTGCGATTATTTTTGTTTGACCATCTCTTTCGACTTTGGCTTGTATCTCGGACTTGTTGATATCTAACTTGGTGACTTGTGCTTGTTTTACTGGACTTTGTGAATTGTATTCCTATAACTATGGCTGATAACCGTCAAATGTGTGTTTTGTGTAATCGATCTGTGATAAACAGAAGAAGATACGAGATAACACACGCTCGGTTTGAAGACAATCCCGCTGTAGCCCAATATATTATTGAAGCTGTTACTCCTGAACGTCAGGTAAGTCAAACTAAATCATTATGTCTTATTTGTCATGTCAGGAACTGGTAGTTTCTCACTTTAAAAAGTATCGTTATGAAGCGTTTTTACTGGTATTATAGTATATACGTATTTAGAAAAAGAATACTGTTTATCTTTATTGGTTTTTTTATTTAGAAAAGTAACTAAGTATTTCATATCGACAGTTTTGTGAAACCATTTAAACTATGCAGTTTAACTAATTGTAATATTCTCATCTTCAGATAGAATACAACAGCCAGGAGTATATTTGTCGACCATGCTGGCAACGGGCAGAAAGAGCTGGGCAACCTAATGAAAATACGCAACCACATGAATGTGCATTACAAATCGAAGAATATTCAAGACTCCCTAATACAGCGACGCGTTGTATGTTTGAAAACTGCAGACGAACGTTACTCCGCAGAATTCCGGATAATCTAAAAGTAACATTTTTAATTCATTTTAACTTTTATATTCCCAATAGCGCAAGAGTTTGCGTTCAACATTTGGAATCCAACAATTGGGATCAAATAATTGACAGCCATAACTTGCTCCACGATTTCAACGCCACACATTTTTTACATATCATGAGCCTCATGAAAATAGCAGTGCTTCGAGGATATATATTGGATTTTGATCATATAGATGACATGGACATAAATGAAATATACATTCAATTGGGTGTCAGTCGAGAACAATTTATGAATATATTGGAACAAACCCCGTCATTGTCGAACGTATCAACTCGGCCGAACACAACATTAGCCTGTTACCTAATGAAGCTACGAAGTGGAAGCAAACGAAAGGCTGGCATCACTTTTCAACATGAGCCGGCGAACCCTTGAAAGACATCTTAAGTTAGCCAGGGATTCCCTTTTTTTGGACTTCGTTCCTCGACATCTGGGTTACGACCATATTGACAGAAAGGACATAGCTAATCGAAATCTTCAAGTGCCAAATGCTGTTTTTGGAAATCCAAATGCAGAACCCTCAGATAGAAAGGCAATTGTGATAGCAGACGCCACTTATATCTACATTCAAAAGTCCACAAACCATTTATTCCAAAGGCGATCATATAGTCTACACAAATTCACGAATTTATTGAAACCATTTTTAATAGTATGCTGCGATGGTCATATAATAGATGCATTTGGGCCATATGCAGCTACAGAGTCGATGCACAAATCCTAAAAAATATGATCGAAGACGAAGAAGGCAGTATTCATTGTTTTTTTAGACAAGGGGATGTGTTCATCTTAGACCGTGGATTTCGCGACGTAATCGACGATTTACATGCCTGTGGATATGAAGCGCACTTGCCAAAAACAAAAAATCGCAACGAAGATCAATTAACGACAGACCAAGCTAATAAGTCTAGGTTGGTTACCATATGCCGCTGGGTTATCGAAGTTATAAACGGTTGGTTTAAACGCGACTTCAAGTTATTTCGGCAAGATTTTTTTAATCGTGGATTTTAAAATAGCCGCTGCGTTATTGAACGCATGCAGACAACCATTATGTGATAGTGTACACGCAGAAACATTTATAACAATAATAAACCAACGATTGAACCAACCAAATCACCTAGCAGAGTATGTCTTAGGCAACAACTTAAATCGTCGACGGGCTAGCTTTGATAGTATTACTGGTAACCAACCTAACTTAAGTGATTTTCCGTCGCTGACCGAGGACGATTTAATTATTTTTGCACTTGGCACATATCAAGTGAAGTTAGCTCGCAGCTATTATGCGGAGCATGTGCGACAAGGCCTATATAATATAGAAGTGTATAGAGATAACCAATGTACAAGTCTAGTCGAGTACGGCATTACAGCTACAAATGTTTGGCTTCTCCGCTGCCGAATACAATCGCGACATGCGCGGTCTAGAATTTATTATTCTTATATTCTTATAGACAAGCAGAAAAATGGTAGGGAAGCTATAGAAAACTATTATTGCAGTTGCCTTAGCGGTAAACGCACTCTGGGTTGCTGCGCCCACATAATGTGTATAGTTTGGTACTTAGGGTGGGCGAGAAACCAGGAGGAAGACATTCTTTTGCCAGCTGATTTTTTAAATGAAATAATTGTTGATGATGATTAAATGTCAATAATTATTGTAGTTATTAAGTAACATTGTAGTTATTAAGTAATATTGTATTATTGTAATCTGGCATAATGTTTTTATTTTAATAAATCAACGTATTTAACAAACCTTTAGTTTTATTTAAGCTATCATTATCTTATATTTGAATATTACGTATATAATAACATAGTCATTATAATGTACTTAAAATTCATTATTATACCAATGTGACAACATCACGAGGTGTACAAAATATTGTATTTAAGATAAAAACTGTAATCATTCCTTTTAAATGATTTAATTAGTTTCTTTTTTAATATAATCCACCTATGATAACTTTTTATCCTAGGAACTTACAGAAACAGTATTTTGTAGTCTTATTGTATACATAATTGGCTACTAGAAAATAAATAGTACAGATGTGGCCGCCGATGGGACAGGCTCCATACAATTTTGCCCATTTACCTTCTGTAACATATGCAAGGAGAAAATATCGTACAAATCAACCACGGCAAATTTAAAAAGCCACTTAATACGAAAAAATATTTCAATATTTTCATCAGCATTTTCGTCGTCTCAATCTTCAAGTAACCCGCCTATATCCGAACTTAATGCACCCCATTCCATGCCATCAACATGTCAAAGTGTGCAGATTTCTGTTCAGGTTCCAACCGCGAGCACCAATTTTTTCAGTAAAATTGGTGCTCGCGGTTGATTTTGTCAGTAAAAAATTAGTGCAGAAGAAAAGAAACTTATTTATTTAGATTTATTAGATTTATGTACAGACAGCTTACATCCATTTTCTTTTAGAAAAATTTGTCGGTGGATACCAGGAGATGAGCTTCCTACTAGAAAAACACTTTCAAATTCAATAATGCTACAGATGATATATGCAAAAACTTTCGACTTGATACAAGACAAGAGTTATTATCGAAAGGACCAATCAAAAAATTGGAATTGCCCACTAGAATGGTGGGAAAACATCAATTATTATACTCTCATCTAAAGAAAACATTTGTGAAGCACTGTAATATAGGAAGGGAAAATCATCTAAGTAGATCCATCAATCAAACGTTTTCCAATTATATTACATTGATCAAATTGTTTCTAAAATTGAACTTTGCAGCGTTGAATAAAAACCGTTCAATAAAGCATGGTTTACATTGAAATTTAAAATTAGTAGTACGAGTACGTTAACTCGTTGACGAATTCAACTAGTAGATTAACTAGTTGACCAAAGTAAATCAACGTTAACGTTTCGTTAACGGAAAAAACATCAACGACCCGTCGCTATCACGTATCTTCTTTTAACTTAAGTATCATATAACTTTAACGTTAACTTGAGTATCATATAATATGCGAATTATGCGAACTGTTTACCTGATTTCAAGACGATAATGTTTATCGTATGTGTACGTATATAATTATGTGCACGTGTCATGTGTAATTATGTACACATAAATGTATGTGCAGCCTACGTAGCCTAGAGGGTCGCGAGTTCGATTTCGGGCACGCACCTCTGACTTTTCCGAGTTATATTTATGTGCGTTTAAGCAAGCAATTAATATCACGTGCTTCAACTGTGAAGGAAAACATCGTAGGGAAACCTGAACGCCTGAGAGTTCTCCATAATTTTCTCAGAAATGTGTGAAGTGTTCAAATTTGCAGAGCTAGGGTAGAATTTTCAAAACCTGTGAAATACGTACTCATTTGTTTTTAATTTTAAGCCAAAATACCAAGTTTCACAAACATAATTTGAAAAATGAGGGACTATCATACAAACATTCAACTCCTACCAGTACGCATCGCGCGTACTGATCACAATTACGACAGGAGAAATTAAACCTTTTTTTGCTTTCTTCTAAATTTGTCCTAGAGATTATGTTGTTATCGCCATTCAGTGGTCACGATCAGCCTAACTCGTCCCGTAGGCTTCGTAAGATAATCGGAGACTTCTTTTTCTGGTAACGAGGCATTCTACCTTGCTTTTTAGGAGTGACAACAACCGACATAATTTATATTGTTAACGCTGACAACGTTTACAATGGCAACCAATAGTGTCATTACGATAACAATATTTTTTTTTATAAATCTGAAGTGGCAATCGAACTTACAGTCCACCTGATGGTAAGTGGCTACTGCAGTCTATGGACACCTGCAGCTAACTTCAAATAAAGAAGGCTTCAGAGGCGTTGTCATTAAGTACGTAAAAGTAAAGTTACAACCTATATACGTCCCACAGCTGGGCACAGGCCTCCCCTCATTTCTGAGAGGGTTTTAGGGCAAGGAAGTGTCCACCGCGATGCGTGTTGGCGAACTTCACATGTCTTCGAAATATATTTTTTCTTATTCCTGAGACATGCAGGTTTCCTCATGATTTTTTCCTTCACCACCGAGCACGTGGTAAAATCAGCACTTAAAATTGCAATTAACAATTTCATAGGTGCCAGCGGGGATCGAACCCGGGTTACTCGCGTTCTGTTATATTTACAGCGAGCGTTTACCATCTGAGCTACCACGGCTCTGAGTCCGTACTGAGTTGAAATTGGAATGCCTTACTGTTTATAATTATACTGGCTCTCTATACCTTCAGAACCGAACACAGTAGTGCAAACACAGCTATTTGGCGTCAGTAATATGTAAGACCTATCCAGATGATCAGTTATGCAGAAAAGGAGTCTTACAGCTAATTTCGTGACAGTCATAAATTTTATCTCTTTATGATTTCAGTCGAACATCTGCTTCAAAATACAAATGTCACGGTAACGGTTTACAACGGAAATCTAGACGCGATCTCCAATACACCAGGTACAGTAATGAATAGTGATAAAAGATACTCGTACAAGCACATTATTTTGAGTCTCTAATAAAATGTTTCAAGGGCATATATATGTATATAGTCCTCCAAAACATATCGGAATATTGCGGGCGGACTAACTATATATATATATATATATATATATATATATATATGTGTATATATATATGTATATATATACATATATATATATATATATATATATATATATATATGTGTGTGTGTGTGTGTGTGTGTGTGTGTGATCCTCACATGAGCAGCAGTATGGTAAGACGTTTCTATAGAATGTTAGCTGGACGTAATTTACGTAATGTAACAAATTCCCATATTACAAAACAAACTTTATTTTTAGAAGATAAAACGGGCATATAATCCACCTTAGTTCAAGAAATCACTCCAGTTCTCTACGCACAACATACTAAACACAGCAGTGTTAGTGTTCCATGACTGTGTTGTTATTTCACTGTGATGTTCTGTGATAGCGTGGTCCTTCCTTGGTAACGCCTACTTATTCGTACTGCACCTATAATACTGCTGCAGTGTGGCTCTACCACGCATAAAAACAGCTGCACGTAGTGCTCACAGGAAAACTGATATTTTAATAAAATATTTCATAAAACATTTTCATAACCTTTGCTAAAAGGCAGAAGTACGCATAGCAATGTTATATACACGTGGCATCGGGATATAACATTTAATAGAGATATATGAGTGGCTGTTTGTTCATATTTAAATATCTGATAAAGAAATATTTAAATATGAAGAAACAGCTTTCATTTTAAATCATAATCAAATACGGACGAACGACGTAACATTTATATAGAAAACTAAATTGAATCCACATGTCTACATTTTCGTGTTTTTAAAATTTTATTTTAGGTCAGCTACTATGGGTTGAGAATCTACAATGGCCGGGTCAAGATAGCTTCTTGAATAGCTCTCGGAGTACTCTTATAGTGAATAGTCGCGTCGAAGGCTACTTCCGACAGTCAGCAAGGTTTCAATTCTATTGGATAAACGCTGCAGGCCAATCGGTAATATTGAATTCACTATCATATTTGTTATTATTGGGGATGAATCCCAATTCTTCTTACATGCTTCTATCATTTTAAAAACTAACAAACAAATAATGCGGTGATGAAAGCTTAAAAAACTTCTTTTTTGCTTTAGTAACAACTACCCTGAAAAAATTTATATGAAAGGAGTTTTGAACCAACTTGAACTACTTATTTTTCCGAATTGTGCAACTTTTATACTGCGCAAATAACGTTTAAATCTGTAAATTACTCTGCTTAATATCAAATAATAGAAAAATTATTTCGAATTTCTGTATGTTTTGTTAAGACATGCTTAAAATGGGAAAATCATTACAAAAAGAAAGGAAAAATAAGGTTTCAGGGACTTTTTCGTGGTCAACTTTACACTGAATTATTTTACCTACACTAATAATTAGGCTTTTTTTCGCATAGATAATATTCTTCAGTGATTTGATCGATTATTCTATTTTTTCTACTTGCACCCAAACATTTAAAACGAATGATATAAACTTTAAAATAGAACAAAAACAAAGAAGACACACACTAATTAGTGACTGTTAAGAGATAAATTACGGAAATGAATAATGATCCTTCACTGCTGGCCGTAGCAGGAAGCTTAAAGTCACTCAGCGTGGAATGTAAAAGCTGTGCTCGGTATTTCTCTGCGGGATACATTCTGTAACGGGGATATCCTCAGAAAAACCAGACTAACCAGAGTAACTGACATAGCTTAGCGGATTAGTAAGCTGAATTGGCAATATGCCGGCCGTATAACTCGAAGAACCGATGGGAAATAAAGGTTTGCGTCCCCCACTAAATGGAGTGATGATCTGATGAAACTCACAGGTAGTTGATGGATGCAGTTATCTCAAGATAATAATTTGGACAAACTATGGGGCTGTAGTGATAATGTGAGAGAAAAGCTTAAAAATTGTCCCAACATAGAAGAAGTCTAAATATTTGCTTAATAATGAACGACGCTGTCTAATATTTATGTCATTATGTTTAATTTTTTCTTCGTTTTTTATCTTGAATCTCAAAAATCTAAAAACTCGTTACTCAGGACATCGCAAGTCGCTCCATAAAAAATAGGTTCGTGTTATGTAGGACGCTACATGCCAAACAGTTTTATAATCAACACAAGTAAAAGTTAGTTATACTAAGTAATGTTAATATTTTCACAGGTGCCTCTTGACAGTCCAGTAGCAATGAGAAGAGTCCTTCAAAGTATTACAAGCAACTAAAATAAATAGATGAAGTGTAAATTGAAATAAATATTTAAAATGTGTTGACTTTTACTGAACCTTCTATAAAAAAATTAATACTCTCATAATACTCTTTACCTTCATCTTTCCAAGCCTATGCAGGTGGATTTGCAATACCAGCACTGTCTCATCATCCTTTAACGCAACTTTCCATTTCCGTGTTACGCAAGCAACCCAGGTTTGATTCCTGCCAACATCAATGAAATCGTTACTTGCCAGTCTAAGTACTGGTTGACCACATGCTCGGTGAAGAAGGAAAGCATGTCTGAGGAGTTTCATATTTCCATATCATAAGTTTACACTCTTAGCATATGAGATACCAAATCAGACTATACAGTATAGACACATCAAAAAAAAATTGTGATCACTAGCAAAAGCTGATATATTATGTTTAAAATTTAGCTTCATCAAGAAAAAGTGTTTACATTATTCTCTTTGTAAATAGTTTGAAATTAAAAAAAAATCCTTTTTTAGTAACAAAATTGTGTTATTCAATCGTAATGTAATTGTAACAGAAACTTGATGGATAGAAAAAGGTTGTTTAACCAAACTTATACAACAATTTATTAATAGTTTTTTTTTATCAATACAATATAACTCTTCCCCTGGCTTGAACACATGCGAAGATCCCCTTGGGCATTCTGAGGATCAAGTTATCCAGCATTTCTTGCGGTAACCTGTCCCGTTCCTAAAAAGCAGCTTCCCTGATCTCTGGCACTGTCTGGGGAGGTGGATGACGGCTCCAAGCAGCTCGCTTAAGAGCTCTATTGGGTTTAAGTGTTGTGATGTCGTATCCTCGGAGAGCAGTATTGACTCGTTTATCTCGATGTGCGGGCGCATTATTCTTTAATTTATTATTTTTATTTTAAGTGGTTTTGCCCACTTAAAATTACCCATTTTATAAGCAGTAAATACAGTAAAAACACTTGTTTCCTCGTTGAAATACTAGCGTTATTACGGGGTAATATAACAATATAAAATGTCCTTGTAAGCCAATTTAACCAAGTAAGATAAAAAATGTGTTACGATGCGTAGGTAGGCACCTCAGTGGACTAAAATGTAACTTCCCTCAGCCCGTGCTTGTATTGATTCTCCAATTTGGTCGAATAGGTTAGAAGAATTTTAATTCAATATAGATTATTACATAATTCCTTTTGATAGTATTTTTTTATTTATCACAAAGTAGACTAGAAAGAATTGGTGCCCATGGTTTACTCGGAATGGTCTGACAATTCCATCAATAGCGACTGTTTTGTTTTGTTCTGGTTTAGATTATGACTATCACCAAATAAGCTATGTGGTAGGACTCCTTTTTCATTTCCCTCTATTGCCTCTTACGATGATTATGATGTAGTGGATTCTCTTACGAAAATTTACATTTTTTTAATAATACAGCTCTGAAAAAAATCAAGAATTACTGTAGACGTTTTTATTAAAGAAATGGTTTACAACTTACAATTACGTAAGTATGTTGTACATACGTATATTTTGTATATGAAACAAATTTTAGTGATGTACCACCAAGTTGTATTCAAGTATCTAATTATTATGACAATTCTAAGCATTACTTTTACCTTTGCCTCGTAGTGGCGGTTAAGAATATCCACTATCCCATATTTCTCGTAGGTGTCATAAAAAGCGACAGTAGGAAACAGGCAGGAGATGGATAACTGCATTTGTAAAATAAAAAAACTGCGGTTGCCAACCCGCTTACCAAGGGTGGCAACTATGGCAATATACCCCCCATTATAAGAGTTACGAAGAGATGGCCTCTAGTCCCCGGCGGCCCCACTATTCCTGGCTACGGTGGCGACCATGGTAACGGCGGAGCAGGGGGTGCTAATAATCTCCGGTGGAGGTTCGGTTGCCACATAAAACGACATGACCTGGTAACGTACAATGCACGCACCCTAAAGACTGACGAGAAGATTATCCGAGGTCCAAACTGAAGGGGAAGATACGATGATTCTCGAATCCGGCAATTTTTTCTATCATCGGGAGGGCGACCTACAGTCCCGAGACGTCAGGTGTTGGATTTATCGTCAACAAGTCTCTCGTTAACAACGTTGTAAAGATTGGGAGTGTGGCGACGAGGGTTGCGTACTTTATACTCAGAATCACCAAACGGTATTCGCTGAAGGTCATACAGATTTACGCACCAACCTTGGCCCTGGAGGTGGAGGAAATGTATGAGGATGTTTTTAGAGCCATGCATTGCTCCAACACCCACAAAAACATACGGTGTTAATGTGAGACTTCAACGCAAAACTAGGCGCAGGAACTTACGCAACTTTAATACTGTTCGTATTGAACAAGCGATCGAGCAATACCAGGGCTCCAAAGTCTTTGCCAAAGATCTGTCTGCCAAGAAGAGCCAACTGTCAACGCTGAAGACCGAATGTGGCGGCATCGTTTCTGGGACACCTAAGATTTTGAGCTTGAGCGAGATTGAATGGTTCTATGGGCAGCTGTACACATCATCGTTGGAGCCACACTCAAGAGTCAGTAACGAACCAAGAGCAAGTCTTATCCGCCACTATTTTGATGATATCCCGGACGTCAGTCTAAGCGAGATTAGAATGGCTCTCCAGCATCTTAAAATCGGCAAGGTCCCAGGCGAGGATGGAATCACAGCGGAGCTTTGAAAACGGGTGGAAAACCGGTACTTAAAGTTTTTCAGAAGCTCTTCAATTCCGTCCCCCATGGCGGCACTACTCCGAAAGCGTGGAGCGGAAACGCGGTGGTTTGTTCTTCAAGAAAGGCAACAACGCTCTCCTGAAGAACTACAGACCGATTTTCTTTCTGAGCCGTGTCTAGGTGCTGTTTTCGAGAGTCATTACGAATCGTCTCGCACGCTGACTCAACGACTTCCAGCCTCCTGAACAAGCCGATTTCCGAAAAGGCTTCAATACAATAAATCACATACATACCCTGCGGCAGATTGTATAAAAGATCGAAGAGTACAATCTGCCACTCTGCCTTGCGTATGTAGACTATGAAAAATCCTTTGATTCCGTCGAAATTTGGGCGGTGCTACAGTCGCTTCAGCAGTGCCAAGTTGATTGTCGGTATATCGAAGTGCTGAAGTGTTTGTACAGTAGGGCTACGATGGCTATCCGAGTACAGAATCAGATTACAAAACCTATCCCACTGTAGGGAGGTGTAAGAGTGTGTGGCGTTATATCGCCGAAACTCTTCACCGCTGTATTGAAAGACGTTTTCAAGCTACCGAACCTGAAAGGATACGGTAGGTATTAACCTCAATGTCGAGTATATCACTCAATTTCTGATAATATAGTTCTTATGGCAGTATCGCTAGAGGACCTAAGCACTATGCTCAATGACTTCAATAGTGTCTCCCAACGGATAGGTCTTAAGACGAACATGGACAAAACAAAGATCACGTTTAATGTCCATGTCACACCTATGCCGGTAGTTGTTGGGAGCGCTAAGCTCGAAGTTGTTGACGAGTACGTTTACCTGGGATAAATAGTCCGACTAGATAAGTACAACTTTGACTGAGAATTTAATCGACGAATTCAACTCGGCTGTGCAGCGTTCGGGAAATTACGACACATCTTCTCGTCAGGTATACCTCAAAACCTGAAAACTAGATTGTACAACCAGTGCGTGTTTCCAGTTATGACTTATGGATCTGTGACGTGGTCTGTATAAGAGATAGTTAAGTAGAGTTATTATCCATATTAATATTATAAATGCGAAAGTGTGTTTGTTTGTTTATTTGTCCTTCTTTTCACGTCACAACAGAGCGTCGGCATGGCATGAATTTTGGTATGGGGATAGTTCGGTGGCTTTAGAGTGACACAGTCTGTGTGTGTGTGACTTTTTTCAACGGAAAAGACATATCATTCCCGTGAGAAAATCGAATATGTTGCAAAATTAAATTCAGCTAGGTGGCGCCATCGTGATTCTACAAGACGGACGACGGTACGATGGACGAACACAGAAGGTCAGAATACCTGTATTATTATGTCTTTTTGCCAAAATTAAGATAAAAAATGTACGGATCTGTATTTTTCCACGCAAGACTGGGAAGAGAGCGATAAAAAACATAAAATTCACCAGCTGATTTTCTTCAAACGTTTTGGTGCATTATAATTCACAGAATAGGCGATAACCTCGCAGACGATAATAAGTAATCCGTTGATGCTCTGCCTACCCCGTAAGGGGTTACAGGCGTAATTATAAGTATGGATCAGAAATACTATCACCACCTGTCACACTTTCACCCTTAATTATTACTTAACTGTGGTAGAAACAGTTCTTAGTAAGCCTTATTAATAAGCCTTAGTAATATTTATTGAACGGAAATGAATACAGTTCTTATATGTGGTTATGAATAAATCGGTATTACAAAAATAAAATTGTGCAAAATTATAAGAAAAATATTTTTCAGAGTTCTTATTAACTAACGCATACATAGTGTAAATTAATTCCGCTAGATTGTTACAAGGTTTTTAAAACGCGGTAACGAAATGTTTCCTGACATGTACTTAACTCCCGCCGTTGAGCCGTGCGTCAACTTATAGTACATACGGTACCTATACGCTTAAATTGTTTCTATTTGGTAGCTTATTCGACTACCTGCTTTCGATTTCGGTTGTTTGTCATTTGCTTTGTGATTTGGTTAAGGTTGAATGGATTTATATTGGCTTTCATTTTCGGATTTGTGTATTTTATTGGATCGGTTTTGTTGATTTGGTTGGTATTCCTTTATACTTATTTAGACTCTGGCTTTGATTTTGGATTTTGTTTATTTAGAATCGTGAATTGATTTTCGTTGTTTTAGGTTGTTTAACAATATTTCAAAGGAATATTAATAGTATCGATAGTGTATACAGTACCTATACACTTACTTCTTTTTTCGTTGGTTATATTTATATTGACTACTGCTTTCGATTTCGGTTTTCTGCGATTTGTTTTGTGATTTGGTTTAAGTTGATTTGATTTTTTTTGGC